GCAAGGTTTTTGACTTTTTGTTTTATTATTTCTTTAATATTAATTTAATTATATTCAAATTTTGACTTTTTGACTTTTTAAATTTAATTTAATTGTATGATTTTTTAATTATTTTAATTTAAATTGACATAATCAAAAAAAAAATTACATATGAAAAATAGTGATCAAATTATCCAATAAATAAATAAATATATAATATTCAAAATGTACACATAAATTAACAAAGTACAATAATAAAATCCTAATACAAGCCTATTGTGATGGTAGTGGCGGAGGATATGTTTTGATAGCATCTTAATCCTCAACTTTAGCTGTCAAAGTCTCGACAATTCCCTACAAAAAAACAAATATGGTCAAATAACAAAAAAAGAAAAAAAGAAAAAAAAAGGCATAATCTCCCCTAAAATTGTTATACCACAAATCTAGCCCAAACTCCAATCCTCACCCTATACTCAAACCCAAACCCCACACAAACTCAAAACTAACTCCAAAAACACATATGAATGAAATCTTTTTAAAATTTGGAGAGAATATACCTTTTGGCAAGATTGAGAGTGAGTGTGAATGAGAGGGAGAAGTGAGTGTGAGAGAATTAGAGAAGATAGTGAGAGAGAGATGAGAGAGTGAGTGAGAGTGAGAGGTAGTGAAGAGAGAGATCAGAGGGTGAGTGAGAGATAGTGAAGGGAGAGATGAGAGATTAAGTGAGAGGAGTGAGTGTGAGAAAAAGGGGGGGATTTGGGGGGGGGAAGAGAGGAGGAGTAAGAATAGGAAAAGACATTGAAAAAATGGTGGAGGAGTTATTTTCATTTTAAAAACCGTATCACTTTGCACGACGAAAAATATTGGTCGCGCAAAGTTTTGCGCGACGGAAAATATTGGTCGCGCAAAGTCTTAAAAAAATAAAAATAAATAAAAAATTCATGCGTCCCATTTTTGGTACCGACCAAATTTATAAATTTTTGCGCGACGAAAAATATTGGAGTATTGGTTGCACAAAGTTTTGGGCGACGGAAAATATTGGTCGCACAAAGTCTAAAAATAAATAAATAAATAAAAATTCCCACATCCCATTTTTGGTACCCATCCAAATTTTTAAAGTTTTGCGAGACGAAAAATATTAGATTATTGGTAGCGCAAAGTCTAAAAAAATTATTTAAAAAAATAAAATCCCACGTAAAATTTTTGGTACCTGCCAAAATTTTTAGAGTTTTGCGCAACGAACTGTTACGCAAACTTTTGGGAGACGAAAAATTGGTTCGTAGTGCAATATTTATAAAAATAATTGCTATGAATAATATAAAATAAAATAATTTTATTTTACAATTTAAAATATAAATAAGGTTCAACCTACTTAATAAATATATATACTATTCAATTTCTTAAGTGTTATATGTACAAAATAAATAAATTTGAAGCTAGTTAATAAATAAATAAGTATATACATATACACACACCATTTAATGATCCAACCGTCAAACTTGTTTGTATATACTTCAAGATTGTATGCGCCAAAAATCGGAAAAAATAAACATTCAGAGATCAAGTAACGGGAAAAAACTTTTCAACGGTTATAAATGAAAAATCAAGATTTAACGGTTATTTTAATTCTGATTTTGATGAATTTTTTACAGCTACACTCCTTGACCCTATATGAATACAATAACTGAATTTGATCTTCAATTTAAAATATTTTTTAGTGTACCACAAAATCTTATGTTATATTTAACAAAAGTATAAATATATTCTTAATTGTTAGTGAATATATTGTTTTGATGGCATACGCATTCTACGAAGCTAGTTTCAACGATTCAACTGTCAAACTTGTTTGTTTATACTTCGAGATCATATACATCAAAAATCGAAAAAAAAAACATTCAGAGATCAAGTAACAGAACAAAACTTTTCTACAGTTATAAATGAAAAATCACGATTTAACGGTTATTTTAACTTCGATTTTGATGATTTTTTACAGCTATACTCCTTGACCCTATATGAATACAATGACTGAATTTGATCTTCAATTTAAAATATTTTACATTAGTGGATACCACAAAATCTTATGTTATATTTAACGAAAGTATAAATAAACTATTAATTGTTAGTGAATATATTGTTTTGATGGCATACGAATTCAAAAAAACTAGTTTCCACAATCCAACCGTCAAAACTTTTTTTTTTTAATACTTCGAGATCATATATGCCAAAAACCGGAAAAAATAAACATTCATAGATCAAGTAATGAGACAAAACTTTTCGACGGTTATAAATGAAAAATCACGATTAACGGTTATTTTAACTCCGATTTTGATAATTTTTTTTTACAGCTATACTCCTTGACCTTATATGAATACAATGAACTAATTCGATCATCAATTTAAAATATGTAATTTCTAACAAAAACCCAATCCGAACTACAATAATATATTTTTCTACCAAAAATCCGATCCGAACTAAAATAATAAATTTAAAGCTACTTAATAAATATATATACCGTTTAATTT